AAAAAAAAAAAAAAAAAAAGAAGATGCATTTTCTTAAACATCATCCCTTCTGACTACCTGGGGGATATACTTCACCCTAAGTATTGTTCTTACAAACAGTGTTGAGTATTGTGTTCAGTGAAAGCCTTATTTCCTATTACTGTTTCCTAAATGATTAGGTGGATTTTATAAGAAATTGTCTATAAAACTGGGCTATATGGTCTTGGCCAGTCCGAACAGTGATTTTCATTGTAGCGAGCATCAGAATCACCTGAGGAGCGGATTAAAATACAGATTTCTGGGCCCAGCCTCACAGTCCCTGGTGCAGTAGGTCTGGGTGGGCCTAAGGCTTTTGCATTTTGAAGTTTCTGAGTGGTATGATGCTGCTAGTTTGGGGACAATGCAAGAATCACAGAATTAGAGTAAACAAAAAAGCCATGGCAAGTATACTGTGAGATATGTAAGTGTGTGCACAAGACTTATCCTATAAGCACATTGTGTTATTATTTATAATACTAAAAATTGGAAACTACCAAAATATCTGAATAATACAAAACTTGTAAAATAACTTCACATACCATTAAATGAAAAAAACCCACAAGTTATCCCAATGTTGTGTACATATGTGTGTATAAACATGGACCTGGATTAATATTGACTAACAGACTATCAGGACAAGAAGTGATTTTTAATTTCTTTGTACTTTTCACATTTGTTGATTTTTCAATGGGCATATTTTGTGCAGTAAAAAAGCTGTTAAAAATAAGTGTTATAAAGTGTTTTAAGTACAAAAAAGAGGAATCATTGAATTTAGCCCTGATTAGTATTTCTCTTGTTCCCTGCTGACATCCAGCAATACTTAGTCACGCTCAGAATATCGTTTGAGAATATTTGAAGACAAAATATCTTGCCATTTTTCATACACAGTCAGCATCAGAATTGGTCACATATGGGGCGTCTGGGTGTCTCAATTGGTTAAGTGTCTGCCTTCGGTGTAGGTCATGATCCCAGGGTCCTGGGATCGAGCCCCGCATCGGGCTCCCTGCTCAGCCGGGAGCCTGCTTCTCCCTCTCTGCCTGCCACTCCCTTTGCTTGTGCACGCGCTCTCTCACTCGCTCTGTCAAATAAATACATAAACTCTTTTAAAAAACAAACAAAAAAAACTCCAAAGAACTGGTCACATACGAGGGAGACAGAATCACTTGGTATTTAGAGAGCTGGCTCTGAGGCCAAACTTCCTGAGTTTAAACCCTGCCATTCTCTATCACTGGGCAAGTTTCTTAACCAACGTATGTACTAGTTTCTTTATCTGTAAAGTGGGGATAATCACAGTACCTCCATTATAGGGTTGTTGTGAGGATTAAATGAACAACTTAAGAAATGTTAGCTATTCTTATGTTTGTAAAAAAAAAAAATTCTGCATTTGCCTTGTACTAGCAAACATACATTAATGTTTTCCGGTTTTGTCTAGATCTGGATGTGTGGAGGCCAACTCTTTATACTCCCCTGCTCTCGAGTGGGACACATCAATAAGCCGCACTTTCCAAATCAACCTGGGCTTGTAAAAGCCGTGACATATAACAATCTCAGATTGGTGCATGTTTGGCTGGATGAATACAAGGTAAAGGAAGTGTCTCTGATTTGGAAAGACAAGGAAGAATACAGAATGGGACTTGCTCTAAAAGAAACCTGCTACTATCTTTCTAGATAACAAGTTTTGGGTTTTTTTTCTGTTTTCCTTAAATTAGCCTTCAGCCACTCATCTACCTTCCCCAGACCCTATTCTTGATTGGTTCATTCTAACCTATTACACTGGAGTATTACTTTTTAATTTCTAGGGAAGCTCAAGTTTCTCAGAAGTAAATCAACCACCATAGGAAGTTTGTTTTGTTTTGTTTGTTTCGCCCAGATCTATTTTTCCCCCTAAGGACTGCCCCTCTGAAGCAAACACCTCTCCCTGCTTCCCTCCCCACAGGCAACTCTTTAGATTCTCTTCCTCTACTACCAAGTTCTCAAGGGATGCAGCTGCTGTGACCTGGAGACCGCGCAAGAACCTCCACTATCTCTTTTCTACCGACAGTCAAAGATTTCTCTATCAAAGCCTTGCCCCTTCACCTGTGCACCTCCCCAAGGCTTCAGTCCCTAGCCAAGACCTAAAAGGGTGCACAGACAGAGAACACGTAGCTGTGGCCTCATTTGAAAGTTGTCCCTCCAGGATCCATGCACGAACCAATATGGCGGTAACCCCAACAAGACCTCATTTCAGATACATGGGGAGAAATATATAAGAATCTCTCTATGATATTCTATGTTCTGGTCTTAATCTAATATTTCTTTATTATTTTAAATTATAAAAGTAATAACACTCTTTCTCTAGTAATCAGGGCAATGTGAATTAAAACCTCAATGAGATATTTCTACATAGCCACTTAGATTGGCCAAAATGTTTCAAGCCTGATAGGACCAAGTATGGGCAAACACAGGAATTCTCAGACACCGCATGTGGGAGTATTCATTATTACAAACTCACTTTGGAAGACAGTTTGGCAAAATCAAGTAAAGATCATGAATATCCCATGATCCAGCAATTCTATTCTGTGCATACACCCCAGAAAGGCATGCTTTTGTGCAGGAAGAACACGTGAACAAGAGTGTTTACAAACCGCATTGTTGGTGTTATCCAACACTAAATACAACCCAACTGTTCCTCAAGAGTAGAACGGGTGAATGTGACATATTTAATTGATATAATTCTATACAGCCATGAAAATGAACCAACCGTAGATACACATACAACAGTACAGCACACCTTAAAGACATAATGGTGAACAAAAGCAGCCAAACACAATAGAGTATATACTGATTTATTCCATTTACTATTAAGTTAAAAATGGGTAAAATTAAGCCATGTAATTTATGGGTGCACAGTTAGATAAAGCTAAAAAGAAAAGCAAAGACATGAATACATAATCAAGATACCATTTAAAACCAAGGGAAAGCCTATGCTCAGGACGGGAAAGGCAGGGGACTTCGGGGATGCCATTTATGTTCTATTTCTTGACCTAGTCAATATGATGGGGATTGATTTTTCAGCAATTCATTAAGTTGCACATTTAATTTTATGTACTTTTTGTATGCTTATTTCCCGATTTATAAAACATACTCATGTTTGAAAGTCATACAGTATTGAAAGAGTACTAAGTGAAAAGCAAACTTTCTCAGACCATAGTTCCACCCCTCAGAAGTAACATTAAATTAGCAATCACTAAATCACTAAATTTAGTAATCACTAAGACTAATAGTTTCTTGTTAACACACATTTAAAAACAAATATATATCTTTTTACATAACTAGATTCACACAATATTTTGTTCTGCAATTTTTCTACCTGTTAGCATATTTTATTTTAAAAAATTTATTTATTTATTTATTTATGAGAAAGAGAGAGAGAGAGAAAGCATAAGTGGAGGGGAGGGAGGGGCAGAGAGAGAGGGAGAGCCGACTCCCTGCTGAGCAGGGAGCCTGATGAGGGACTCAATCCTCAGACCCTGGGATTATGACCTGAGCTGAAGGTAGATGCTTAGCTTGACAGCCACCCAGGTGCCCCTACCTGTTAGTATATATTAAAAACATACTTTCAAAGTCTTTTAAAATCTGAACATATAAACATATCATTCTTTTAAATATTTCCTTTGAATGGATCTCCTAAAATTGATCCCATTAATAAATAGCCCCCTACAGATAAACATTCTGATTATCTCAGCTTTTTATTAATCCTTAACATTGCTGAAATGCGCATCCTTTACACTATCTTTTTGTACATTTGTGCAGATACATCTCTGGAGTAAGTCTCAAAACATGGACTTGCTGGGCCATGAGAGGTGCATTTTATATTCTGATATAATCAGAGTGCTCTACCAACTACCATCGCTATCACCAAATACATAAGTGCCTGTCTCCTCACAACTTTTCCAACCCTGATTTTAATTAAACTTTATATTCTAATCTGATAGGTTGGAAATTATTATTATTTTATATTGTATTTATTTATGAGAGATCTTGAGCTTGTTTTTATGTTTGTTGATTTTTTTCCTGTGAATTCTGGCCACAGACTTAAGCAGTTGACTTGAACACATCTAGGACTGAGTAGTTTACTGAATTTCACAGAGGATATAGTGACAAAAAGGTCCATCTAACCTAAAAAGCATATAATGTTTGGCATAAAATCAATGGATGTATGACCCGGAGCACTGGAAACTGTAGTGAGTGACATTAGACAAGAGAGGGCTTCGCACAAAATGTTGTCTAAGGTCCTCTCTGCCTTTGCTCCCCAACAGCAATACCCCCTCCCATCCTCAGGCCCATCCCCTGCATCGATCTGCCCTGGCAACTAGGAGTGGCAAGACATGATGGCAAAGACCTACAATGGTCAAGTGTCCCGGGGAGAATCCAACATGACATGCCCATAATACACTAGCTTGGAGAAGCAAGTTCCTTCTCTTGTTCAACAATATTACTGTACTCTATTCTGGGCACTGGGAAACTCAGATGAAAATACAAGGCTTCAGTCTATTTAGAATACCTTTTTTAATATGGGGCAGACTGAATCCATTAGCCATCCGTACTTAATACTGTCTTAAATCAGAGCATATAACAGACAAACCAGGTGTGGTGGTGATAACGGTCAGTGCTGACATGACACCATATGCCAGCCTTTTTTCCCCAGTGCTCTGCAGGTATTAGATAGAGGGTTCAGTCCTCACGACAACCTCACGAGGGTAGGGGCAGAGGCCACATAATAAATAACAGAGCAAGAATGTGAACCCAGGCTGTCTTCCCCCCAGAGTCAATTTGCCGTTAGCCCCTCCCCCATCTCCCATTTCTGAAACCATGAAAGTGTTGACTGGGACCAGGGAGTGAGGGTTTTGTCCTTGAGTCTTGAAAGAGCAGGAGAAAGGGGATCTATCACAGCAGGTGTCTGGGATTCTTGGGCTCCTAAGAAGCAGGACCTGGATCCCTGGTTCCCTTCCTGGACCCCTCTACATCATCGCGCCATAGTTTGTCACAGAACATACTGTGAATACGTGTGGGGCAGGTGAATCCCAGGTACCACGTGTGTCTCTGCCCTCACTCCATGGATGGAATCGGAAGGTCTTCTGTTTTTATTTTTTTAGTTCAGGTGATGGAAATAGATGCTCCTACGTTAGATATGACTTGTCTGGTTTAATGAAATGACTCTCTATTTCCATTTAGGAGCAGTTTTTTTTACGGCGACCTGGTCTGAAATCTGTTGCCTACGGAAACATTAGTGAGCGTGTTGAATTGAGGAAACGACTGGGTTGCAAATCATTTCAGTGGTATTTGGAAAATGTCTTCCCAGAACTGGAGACATCTAAGGGCAGCCAATGAAAAGGAAACAAATCATTTTCATTAATGAAGGGCTAAAAATCCCCCTAGGTCTTCAACACAGAGAAGAGTGCAAGTTTGGAACATCATGAAATGATGTGACATGCAGTAAGAAATACAACCAGAGTGCTCTAGAACAAGAGTGCCTTTCTGTCTTCTTTTTTTTTTTTTTTTTTAAGATTTTATTTATTTGAGAGAGAGAATGAGAGAGAGCACGAGAGAAAGGAGGGTCAGAGGGAGAAGCAGACTCCTTGCTGAGCAGGGAGCCCGATGTGGGACTCGATCCCGGGACTCCAGGGTCATGACCCGAGCCAAAGGCAGTCGCTTAACCAACTGAGCCACCCAGGCGCCCCTCTGTCTTCTTTTAACAATACTTCTTAACACTTTGTTACACATGCCACTAAATTTCTGGGGTGGCAAAACCTTGAACATTAGAAATATACACGGTCACACAGTTAAGACTATCCTACAATTGAGCAAGGTAAAGTGTATTCTCTTCGTTATTTGCCAAACTCACTTGGTCCCATTAGACCACAGGGAATGCTCCACTCTTGGAGCCTTTGTCAACTCCATTCCACTTCAGGCAGGTGACCTGGCCTGGTGGCCTTCTCAGTAAGACGTTCACAGAGAGCCTTGGTTGGTACGTACCAACTGTGGCTCAACTGTATTGAGCTCCTCTCTTGCTGCCAGTGTAGATTTTGGTGCTGATTCCTTGCTTGGTTGGGTTCCTGAGTTTCTGATGTCCCATCCACTTGCCGTGGTGTCCCAGTCCAGTTCTCTAGGCCAGCCTTCCAGTTTGTGCCTGTCAGTCCTTTTGTCACTTGGAGACAGTCCTTCTTCCCTGCTTCTGATTTTGCCTTGTTCATATTTCTCCCCTCCTATGGCTCTGGCCTGTAGCTCTCCTGATACTTCTTGGATTGTGTACTCTGTTGTTAATCTATGTTCTGGCTAAGAACTGTTTAGCTGGGCCTGGGGAAGAAGTAGCTAAGTTCCCCACTTACCCTGTGTGAACATACTTCCAAATGTTTAAAGTACTTCTTTTGGGTTAGAGGGATGGCTGTTGTGTTCACCCTGGTGAAGGTGGCTAGAAAGGGGACATATATTTAATTCACAGAGAAAATGAGGGAAATAACACATTGAAAGGAATAAAAGGAATGGGGGAGACTTGGGGTAGGATCACTAAACCTAGCACATAAGCTAGTTTTTACAGGAGACAACTTATCTATTATGCTCACTCAGTCAACAACTGAGTGGTCCTCCAGGGCCAGATATCCTTCTTGGTGCTGGGACGCAGCGGACGAGGGAACAGGAAAACATCCCTCCCTTCATGGGGAGTTTATATAATCTCCTTATACATATGTATTTAGTAAAATACTCTATAGAATCTATTGTTAGAACGACATGGGGAAAATCCAGGCTCATATATTACAGGTGGCCAGGGTAACTTGATTGAGCCTTTAAAAAGTCAATCTGGCAACACAAAATAAGCACCACATTATGATTATATTCTTGGCCCATATTTATACCTTACCTGCTTCTAGAAAGTAATAAAAAATGATTATAATAAACCCATGAATCTTAAAATTAGTGTAAAATACAAAAAATAGAAATCTGTAGCAGAAGGAAAAAAGAATTCTAGTATAAATAAACCATGATTTTGAAATAACTTTTTTCTAGTTTTGAAATCTGAGAATAATTTTTTTCTTTGGTAAGCATAAAGGAGGATGTTGTAAGTATCAGCTTTGCCAAAAGAAAAAGACAAATGTTCTTAGAGCCATGAAGCCTAATATTAGGTCTTCGTTTTCTTTTTTTTGTCCTTAGAGAGATAGAGGGCACATGTGCAGGCATGGGGGTAGAGGGGCTGGAGGAGATGGGCAGAGGGAGGGGGAGAGAATCTCAAGCAGACTCCCCGCAGAGCAGGGAGCCCGACACAGGGCTCGATCTAGACCCTGAGATCATGACCTGAGCTGAATCCAAAGGTCAGGCGCTCAACAGACTGAGCCACCCAGGCGCCCCTTTAGTCTTAGTTTTTTAATGTGAATGTTGGTTTAGGTACCAGATAACAATGTGAGTAAGTCTTAGAAATGATCTAGTATGTTCCTTAAACAACTTCTTTTGAATATTGACTCTGGAATAGAAATCAGAATAAACATCCAAGTATTGGTGTGATTGAAAGGAAATCCATATTAGCCTATAGGTGGCAATTTTCTGTTTCATGTGGAAACTTAAAAATCTGATTTCTATCGTGGGGCTAGTTGAGAAGTAGCTGCTAACCCACGCAAAGCTATTCTCAAAACACAGTTTTTGGTATGATCAAATGTTCAGACAAGCCTTAAAGTAAGCCTGGGAGTTCTCTAATTAAAGCATACTTCTTGGAATGTAGCCTAAGACACACCAGCATGAAACTGAGCTCCCATTATGTTTCATACACAGTGGTAAGTACTCTCAGTTCAACCACACCGTAAAATAGGCCCTACTGTTACTGCCATTTCATAGATGAGAAAACCAAAGTTAGAATTTTTCCCAGGTTGGGGTTGCCAGTTTTAGCAAACAAAAATACAGGATGCTCTGTCTTTGAAATTTGTATTTTAAATAAGCGATGTTTTGTTAGTATATTTCACATATTCCACGGAACATACTTACACCACAAAATTGTTCGTTTCTCTGAAATTCAAATTTCAGGCCATCCTGTATTTCATCTGGTAACTTTATCTGGGTACAAACTAACACAGCCCATATAGTAGCAGAATCAGCCCAGTCTCAGACTCTGGGCTTCACCACAACGTTAGGCTGCAAAGAGCATTTTAGTCATTCTTCATAACAGTAAAACTGGAGCTAACACAAACCTCAATGGCTAGAATTATACCATTATACATTAATTTGATGGAATAGCATATAAACCCGTTTAAAATAACAGCTAGAGGGCGCCTGGGTGGCTCAGTTGGTTAAAATAACAGCTAGAGGGGCGCCTGGGTGGCTCAGATGGTTAAGCGTCTGCCTTCGGCTCAGGTCATGATCCCAGGGTCCTGGGATCGAGTCCCACATCGGGCTCCC